TTTAGGTGTTCTCATTTGTCTAGAAATCCCTGATTTATTTTTTGTTCATTTTTTTCTCTCTGAGGTCACAGTTTTTGATTAGTTACATACTATTCTGTTTCTTTTTAGTTCTCTTATTGGTATCCCAATTTTTTCTTGGTTGCTTACTAGTTTTCCTTCTCATAACAAAGTATGTTTGTATGTTTTGATAAATGTAGAGATGTCTTCAAAATAGAAAACCTGGAAAACAAATAATATAAAAGGAAAAAACAGAAGCCCAACTATAATCCCACCACCCCAATATTGTAAGAATGTCTTACCTTTCTTTCCATATCCATATGAGCATATTACCTTCTTTTCCAAAATGTCAAGGCTCATCAAATTTTGTTTCTGTAATAATGATTCAGATTTTTCCATTTTAGTTCTCCATAAAAAAAATTATGGTTAGGAAAGATCCAAAAAATCGATATTCTGGATGAATTGGATTAAGAAATTAATGCATAGAGAAAAGGCTGTATGAATTAGTATACTCTTGATCTCAAATTTTTTTGGGGGGGGTGTCTTTTATTTTTTATTTTTTGGGACAGGGTCTCCCTATAGTCTCAGCTGACCTGGAACTCCCTATGTAGACCAGGCTGGCCTTGAACTCACAGAGATCCGCCTGCCACTGCCTCTCTGAGTGCTGGGACTAAAGGTGCACCACCACACCCAGCCTGTTGACCTCTTTTATTGCCCCCCTCCCCATCTTCAGCTAAAAATGCTAACGTGCACAGCCTTTAATAAGGAGGTTTGGATTTGCAAACATAGAGTTTGTGGACAGTGATAGATTATAAAAGTTGTCTTTTATTTATTTTATTGATAAAGGAACTGAGTCTTTAGAGCATGTTGGAGGTGTTGAAGAAGAAAATCTTTTCTCATGAATATAAAATAGCTTGGTTTGACATTTATAGCAGTTATATATGTTACTTAAAATTTTTTTTTGATTAATTTATTTTTATTTTACATTTATGAATGCTTTGCCTGCGTGCATGTAAGTGCATCTGTGTCAGAAGAGGGTATCTGGTCTCCTGGAACTGGTGTTAAGGATGATTGTTAGGTGCCATGTGGGTGCTGGGAACCAAACCTGGGTCCTCTGTAAGAACAGCCAGTGCTCTTAACCATTGAACCATCTCTCCAGCCCCTAGATATGTGATTATCATCATATGTATATTAATATGAGTGGTAAGTTGTTAACCTTATTTTCAGACCTAAAATGTGATGATTTCCCAAATGATTAAAAAAGTTTTTATTAAAAGTTTTTTTGGGGGGTTGCGTCTGGAGGCCAAAGGTCAGTGTCAGAGTCTTCCTCCATTGCTTGCTCTCCACTTTTTAAAAAATATTTAAAATATTTATTTTTATTGTATGTGTATAAGTGTTTTGCCTACATGTATTTAAGTGTACTATATGCATACAATACCCATGGAGGCCAGAAGAGAAGAGGGTGCAGGTGCCCTGGATGTGAGTTATAGATGGTGCTGAGAACCAAACCCATGTTCTCTGCAAGAGCAGCCAGTGTTCTGAACTATCTCTCCACCTTATTTTGATTCAGTTATACTGGCTGGTCAGCAAGCCCCAGGATTCACCTCTCCCTGCCTCTCAGTGCTAGGATTAGAAGTGCACACCTGAGCCCTGTTTTAAAAAACAAAACAAAACCTTATTTTTATTTTAATTATGAGTATGTGTGTGTTTCTGAGAGTGGGTATGTGCACATGAGTGCAGGTGCCCACAGAAAACAGAGGTGTCAGATCCCCTGGAGCCACCTGATGTGGATGCTGGGAACCCAAACTCAGGTCTGCAAGAGCAGTATGCATGTACTCTTAGCCACTGAGCCATCTCTCCAGCCCAGAGCCCTGTTTTTTAGATGGGTACCAGGGACCTGAACTTAGGTCCTCATGTGAGGTAAACCCTTTTCTCATTGGTTCATACATCCTCCTTGCCCCTTTCTTTTCTTGCCTTTTTTTTTTTTTTTTTCGTCTTTTTGAGACAGGGTCTCCCTGTAGCCCTACCTGGCCAGGAACTCACTATGTAGACCAGACTGTCATTGAACTTACAGAGATCTGCCTGCCTCTGCCTTTTTTTTTTTAAAAGAAAAGACAAGGTCTCACCATGTAACCTTGACTGGTATGGTACTGGCTGTGTAGACCAGGTCAGGTGGGCCTCAAACTCAGAGATCTACCCATCTCTTTTTGAAACAGAATTTCCCTGTAGCCCCAGCTGGCCTGGAATTCACTCTGTAGACCAGGCCGACCTTGAACTCTTGAACTTAGAGACCTGCGTGCCTCTGCCTCCCAAGTGCTGGGAATACATCCTATATCACCCATGCCAGGCTCCTCTTTGCTTTTTTGCAACAATGTTTCTCAGGCTGACCTCAAATATGCTGTGTAGCAGAGGCTGGCCTTGAACTCCTTATCTTCCTGCCGCCCATGTGCTGGAATTACAGACAAGCTCTACCAGGTCCTGCCCCTCAAAACCATCTTTTCCTATAAATTAGACAATTGAATTAATTTGTATCTTTGAGAAATTCCTGATTTTAGCTATCATTGTAAAAGTGTGAATAATAGCTGAGATAATTGAATTATTGTGATATAGTATCAACCTGTGAGGAATGTAAAGTCATGTTATAGTAATTTGGTGATATGCAAATGGGAAGAAGGTGAAAGGGAAAACATCACTACTGTTGCCCCTTGGGCTTTCTCTTCCCCTTAGGAAATGGTGCAGGCCTTGCCAAAGTGTTTTTATTCTCCTGCCCTCATTGATTTCCTGTTATCATTTTATAGCCCATCTCCTTTCTCCTTTTGTTGTGTTTTTTTTTTTTTTTTCTTCCCTTTTTGGTCCTTTTGAGACAGGGTCTCCCTGTAGCCCCAGCTGGCCTGGAACTCACTATGTAGACCAGGCTGGCCTTGAACTCACAGAGATCCGCTTGCTTCTGTGCCTGGCTCTTTTGTTGTAGTTTTAAAAAATATTTTATTGGGCCGGGTGTGGTGGCGCACACCTTTAATCCCAGCGGAGATTATAAACACTTGATACTACACCCAGCCTGTATATCCTTTTTTTTTTTTGGTATGTCCTGGTGCAGGTGCATGTGTGTTGAGGCAAGAGAACAACTTTGGATAGATTTTCCTCACTGCCTTTTTAAAAAAATTCTTTGTGGGGCTGGAGAGATGGCTCAGCGGTTAAGATCACTGGTTGTTCTTGCAGAAGACCCGAGTTCGAATCCCAGCACCCACATGGCAGCTAACAACTGTAACTCCAGTCCCAGGGGATCTGACAGCCTCTTCTGACCTCCACTGGCATTGCAGGACATGGGTGCACTTACCTACATGCAGGCAATACACACATACACATAAAATAAAAATAATAAATAAAATAAAAATTCTTTGTGTTATGTGTATGTGCATATGTGTGTATGTAGGTATGCATGCCATGGGTGTGTGTGGTGGTCAGAGGACAACTTTGTGGAATCTGTTCTCTCCATCCTGTTTTACATGGATTTTGTGTATAAAACTCAAGTCCCTAAGCTTGTGCACCAAGAGCCTTTATTAGCTGAGCCATTTTGCTGGCTCTGCCCTTTTTTTTTTTTAATTAAAAACATTTTTATTTATTATTTTTATGTGTTTGTGTGTATTGCCTGCATGTAGGTAAGTGCACCCATGTCATGCAGTGCCCACAGAGGACAGAAGAGGCTGTCAGATCCCCTGGAACTGGAGTTACAGACAGTTGTTAGCTGCCATGTGGGTGCTGGGATTCCAACTCAGGTCTTCTGCAAGAACAGCCAGTGTTCTTAACTGCTGAGCCATCTCTCCAGCCCCTGCCCTTGGTTTTTGAGAGAGGAATTCTTGGAACTCACCAAGTAGGCTAGGTTGGCTGATCAAGTCCAGGATCCCTTTGCTTTCATGTCACTAGTGCTGGGATTATAAGCATATGCCACCATGTCTGGCTTTTAGCAGTATATTTGAATAGCAAAAGTTTTAAATTTTGTTGAAGTAAAGCCTATCAGTTGTTTTCTTTTGTAGTTATGATGTTTTTGCTTAAAACAAGAAATCTTTGCTAACTTGGTTTGCTAACTTGAAATTTTCTGGTTTTGTTTTGTGTGTTTTGTTTTTATTTTTTTTCTGAGACAGGGTCTCACTTGGTAGCCCTGTTTGGCCTGGAACTTGCTCTTTGGACCAGGCAGGCCTGTCTGCCTCAGGAGTGCTGGAATTAAAGGCATGCACCACCACACTCGGTTTAAAGAAGTTTTAAAGTTTTGTTTATTTTTACATTTAGGTAATGATTTTTTTTTTGTTGTCGTTAATTAAAAAAACAACAGCCAAGGCTATACTTTCAGGGATCATTTCTTTTTCTTTTCTTTTCTTTTTTTCATCTTTTTGAGACTGAGTCCCTGTAACCCCAGCTGTCCTGGAACTCACTATGTAGACCAGGCTGGCCTCAAACTCACAGAGATCTGTCTGTCTCTGCCTCCCAAGTGCTGGGATCAAAGGCATGTGCCACCACCCCCTGTGGGTCTCTCCCTCCCTCAAGGGCCATGAGGACAAAGGGAGCAGAAGTGACTCTAACGGGGTCAGGACAGCCAGTGAGCATGATGGAAAAGATCTTCCAGGGAGTCAGATTCAGTGGTACAGCTCCATTTATTCAGTGGGGGTCAGGGAAAATCTAGTGTGGCGGCAGCAGCCAAAGCTTCAGCTGATAGGTGCTCATAGTATGCTTTATTTACATGTGGTAGGGGGATCCTATCATCCTGCTATAGGGCAATGCCTAATTATCATATAGAGAAAAACTGGGGGCAGTTTTATTGCAGGTAACTATACCAAAGGTCATGTTCCAAATAAGGTCAGGCATCCGTGCTTGGTGGCACTTTCCAGGTAAGTCAGGCAGAGAACAGGAGGCCCCTGCTGAGAAAGGGAGTCCTTCTATATAACGCTGAGCCCCTTAGAGTATCAGGACTTGGTGGACTGCAACCTTAGCAGCAGGGTCCCCCAACAACGCCCAGCCTTCAGGGATCATTTCTATAGTTCATTACTAGATATGTTTCTCTGACCTTGTAGAGTACCAGAAACCATGAGGGGAGACGTAGCATTCTCTCCTGAGTGTGACCTGGCTCTTGGTGTTGCTTCACTGCAACTGCCTTTTGCCATTGATGATTGTTCTTTTTCAGGAGAGTAGAGGGAAAGGATGCAGTCTGAGTGGTTAAAAAAAAAAAAAATTAAAACCAGAAAAACCAACAAAAAACAACAGCTTTATTGGGATACAACTCAGCTGCTTAAAGAATAGAGCCCAGTAGCTTTCAGTATAGTCACAGATATAGTCATTGCCACACTCATTTAGAACATTTTCACCACACCTAAAAGAAACTCAACCATCAGCCATGATCCTCTCATCACTGAGTATTTTTTTTAATATTTATTATTTTTATTTTTTATGTGTATGAGTGATGCCTGCATGTACCCATGTGGTGCAATGCCCTCAGAGGACAGAAGAGGCTTTCGGATCCCCTGGAACTGGAGTTAAGTACAGTTGTTAGCTGCCATGGGGTGCTGGGATTCAAACCCAGGTCTTCGCCAAGAACAGTCCATGTTCTTAACCGCTGAGCCATCTCTCCAGCCATGAGTTAGTCTTAATGTGGTATAAGATGCAGGTTGAGGGTTATTGCTTGTATATCAGTGTGTCACACAATTTGTTGGAAAGACTGTCTTTTCCTCACTGAATTACTGTTGCATCTTTGTTGGCTTTCAGTCTGGATCTGTCTAGACTTTGTTCATTTGATCTCTACGATACCCTGTGCCATTTCCACAATTATTGTAGCTTGTTAGTAAATGTTGATATTACATGTAATTTTCCAATTTCATTCTTTTTCAAAAATGTTTGACTATTGTATTTCCTTTTCTTTGCCTTTCTGTGTAATTTTAAAATCAGCCTGTCAGTTTTTGGAAAGGAAATTCTGCACTGCATGGATTTTAATTCTTTGGGGGCGAGGGTGCTGGGGATTGGACTCAGGACCTGATGATTGCTAGCTCTTTCATTTTTTTTATTTCTTACATTTTTATTATTGGGTATATGCATTCCCTCACATGTCATATGTGGAAGTCAGAGGACTGCTACTGAATTTGGTTTTCTCCATTTACCAAAGATGTAGGTCCTGTTTTGTTTGTTTTTGTTTTTTGATTTTTTTTTTTTTTTTTAGTCTTTTTGAGACAGGGTCTCCCTGTAGTCACAGCTGGCCTGGAACTCTAACTATATAGACCAGGCTGGCCTCAATTTCATAGAGATCCACTTGCCTCGGCCTCCCAAGTGCTGAGATTAAAGGTGTACACCACCACACCCTAACTCTTAATTCTGATTTCCTTTTGGAGACAAGGTCTTTTGTAGCCCAGGTTGGTCACAAACTTACTATGTAGTTGAGGCTGACCTTGAACTCTTGATCCACCTTTGGAATGCTGGGATCACAGGTATGCGCTACCATGCTTGGCTTTGATTTTTCACAGAATGTGTATAGTAGTGCACCTTTTGCTTTTCAGTTACAGTAGAAAAGAAATCCTTTTCTGCATGAGATACCATCATCATAAATTCATGTATGCAAACTTAAGTTTTTTCTTGCTTAGGTAAACTAAAGGAGTAAATATCATATAAGGGAGGTAAATATGCTAAAGAGCTCTTAAGTTTAAAAAAATAAATGTGTGTGTGCACACATGGATGTGAGTGCTTACAGTGCAGGTGTAGAGGACAGAGGACAACTTTCTGGAGTCTGTTCAGGGGATTACACTTACGTTGTCAACCTTGGGGGCCCAGGCACTTTTACCCACTGAGCTATCTGGCTAGCCTGAGTTCTTATTTTATATGTGCACCAAAGAACTTGGTGCTTTTACGTAATTTATACAGTGATTGAAAGTACAGTGATAATGTTAAATTAGATGTGTGATTTTTTTTTTTTTTTCGGTCTTTTTGGGACAGGGTCTTCCTTTAGCCCCAGCTCTCCTGGAACTCACTATGTAGACCAGGCTGGCCTTGAACTCACAGAGATCCGCCTGCCTCTGCCTCCCAAGTGCTGGGATCAAAGGTGTGCGCCACCATGCCCGGCTAGATGTGTGATTTTATCATCAAAATTTGAGATGGGGGCTGGAGAGAAGGCTCATGGATTTAGAACACTTGTTGCTGTGCAGAGGACTGTAGTTCAGTTTTCAGCACCCACGTCTGGTGGCTCATGCCTTCTTTTGGCTTCTGGGCAACTGCACTCACATGCACATACCCACCCAAAGACATACACATACACATCATTAAAAATAAACAAATGAAAAAACAAGATGGTGCAAAAGATTATACGGTGCTTATTCCACATTTCAGAAATTTTAGTGCTAACAGCTATTAGCTAGTCAGAGATTTATATATTTTTGTTGTTGTTGTTTTTGTCTTTTTGAGACAGAGTCTCCCCCAGCTGGCCTGGAACTTGCTATGTAAACCAGGCTAGCCTTGAACTCACAGAGATCCGCCTGCCTCTGCCTCCTGGGTGCTGGGATTAAAGGTGAGCACCACCATGCCCGGCAAGTTTTTCCTTTTGTACAAAGCATATAAATTGGTCCATGTCTACTAGTCTGTTGTTCCTCCAGTATTTTCTGAAAACGTTCAGATTTAAGAAATATTTGTTTTCTTTTAGAATTTTTTGTTTCAGTTTTGAGATAGAGATTTACTCTTCTGTCCAGGGTAGTGTGGAACTCACTCTGTAGTCCAGCCTGACCTCAATTTAAGCAGTTTCCTGCCTCTGCCTCCCAAGTGCTAGTATCATAGGTGTGAGCCATTGTACCTAGGTCTAAGTTTTCTTTTAAAACCTAATTTCTTAGGCTGGCAAGATGGCTCAGCAGGTAAAGGTACTTGCTACCAAGCCTGTTGACTTCAGTTCGATTCTCTGGACCTACAAAATGGGAGAGAACTGACTCCACAAGTTGCCCTCTGACTTCCAGGCAAGTGTTGTAGCATGTGTGTGGTAGTACACACACATTCACACACATGACAAAATGTAATTTTAAAACTCAACTCATTTCTCCTATTTTGTACCTTCTTTTGGGGTGACTTTGTGAGTAGTGAAGACTGTGTCAGTCCTGAAACATTAGTATTCTATGGTTTTTTTCTTTTCTTTTTTTTTTGGTTTCTATTTTCTTATTTATATTGCCTTAAGGAATCTTGCCTTGTTTTTCAGGTTCTAAATGGCTTCTAAGAAGTTGGGTACAGATTTTCATGGTAAGTGGACTGTTACATTTCATGGTTTAAAGCTATGATTTGATCAGAGAATTGAAATAATTTATCATGGTTTTCTTTGGTTTATATTGAACAGCTTGAGTAAAACAAGGTTGTACAAAATATAACATCTATACCCCCGGGTCTTCAAATAAATATTTCTTCAAATGGTTCATTAAACTTTGATCTTTGGAGTCTTTCTGATTATTGTACCAAAGGACTAGAGCCAGGTACAGGGCCCACCAGCTTTCCTTGTTTTCATTATTGCTGTTTCTGTTCCTTTTTTTCTTGTCTTTTTGAGACAGTGGTCTCCCTGTAGCCCCAGCTGGCTGGAACTATGTACACCAGGCTGGCCTTGAACTCAAAGAGGTCCCCCTGTGTTTGCCTCCTGGGTGCTGGGCTCCCGTGTTTTCTTAAGCCATGATCTTCCAAATGAAATCTAGTACTAAAAACTTATTTATACTTGGAGTTGTGACACATGCCTGATTATAACTTTCAGCCAAGTCTCCCATAGTGAGTTCCAGGTCAGCTTGGGCTTCATACTAAGACTTTCTCAAACAAACCAAAACAAAACCTTTAACTAAATTTTATTATCTGCTTTTGTAGAGAATTTAGATGCCTAAGAAGTTAAAAATTAAACCACTTTTTCATGCAGTAGGCAATAAGAATTATATGCCGAAATTATCCAGATAACACAGGTTGTTGTAAAGCTGATCTTCCGTTTTAAAAATTATACATCAGTGTAAGACTGGTACACTAGACTGTGTTGATGTGCTTTTCTGAGCTACATGCAGTTGTTTGATGATATCCCTAAGCAGTTTAGAGTGGTGCAGCAGTTACTTTAGTTTTAGCTTCCTTAGTATTTTATACTTTGAAGGTTTGAACTGCCATGCACATACATATGTAACTTTTTGTTTCTTTGTTTCGTTTTGATAGGGTGGGGGTCTCCTTAGTCCCAGCCCACCTAGAAGTCACCATGTGGATCAGGCTTTAATCCCAGCACTTGGAGGGCAGAGGCAGGCGGATCTCTGTGAGTTCAGGGCCAGCCTGGTCTACAAAGTGAGTTCCAGGACAGCTGGGGCTACAGGGAGACCCTGTCTCAAAAAAAAAACAAAAACAAAACAAACAAAAATCAGCACTTGGGGGCCAGAGGCAGGTGGATCTCCATGAGTTCAAGGCCAGCCTTCTCCCTGTAGCCCCAGCTGTCCTGGAACTCACTTTGTAGACCAGGCTGGCCCTGCACTCACGGAGATCTACCTGCCTCTGCCTCCCAAGTGCTGGGATTAAAGGCGTGCACCAAAGTTTTTATTTTATGTATATGTATAGGCCAGAGGTCAGCATTAGGTGTCCCATGCCATTGCTCTCTACCTTGTTTTTGGTTTTCGTTTTTTTGTTTTTTGGCTGATTGGTTTTTTTGAGACAGCCCCAGCTGACCCAGAACTTGTTATATAAATGAGGTTGGCCTCCATTTCCCAGCGATCTATCTACTTCTGTATCCCAAGTGCTGGAATTAAAAGCGCATGCCACCATATCCATCCCCCTCCCTTTTAAAATGACACTTGCTATGTAAATAAAATTAGGAAGAAAGTCTTTTTTCTTAGGTTTCTTCCACTTTAGTAGAGCTCTTGTTGCTGAACTCTTGGTTTAATTATAGTTACTTTTGTTGGCTTTTTAAGAGTAAAGAATGACTTTTTTTTTTTTCTTTTCTTTTTCTTTTTCTTTTTGAAGCAAGGTCTCCCTGTAGCCCCAGCTGTTCTGGAACTCACTATGTAGACCAGGCTGGCCTTGAGCTTACAGAGATCCACCTGCCTCTGCCTCCCAAGTGCTGGGACTACAGGTGTGCGCCACCATGCCCGGCTAAGAATGACATTTTTAAGGAATAGAATTTTACCAGGAGTAGGTGAATATTTAATCTGTAGTAACCTTGTAGGCATCTGAATACCAGAAATCAGATTCAGAGTGTTTATTTATGTATTTATTCATTTATCATTTTTATTTTTTCGAGACAAAGACCAGATCTCACAGAAATCCGCCTGCCTCTGCTTCCCGAGTGCTGACTTTAAAGGCTGAGCTACCACACCAGCTCAGAATGATTTTATTTATTTTAATTTAATTTTATTTTAATTATTTTATTTTATTTTCTCTTTTGAGACAGGGTCTCCCTGTAGCCCCAGCTCACCTGGAATACCCTGATCAGGCTGGCCTCAAACTCACAGAAATCTGCTTGGCTCTGCCTCCCCAGTGCTGGGATTAAAGGCGTGGGCCACCACACCTGGCTCAGAATGATTTTTAAAAGTGAGATTTGTTGGCCAGGACCCTGAGGCTGTTTTCCTTTTCTCATTGCTTTTCTCAGTGATTGTGCTCTGTTACTAGACTTACATTCCTGGCCAGTCTGTGTAGAATATACAGTATCAAAAATGGCTGTTGCTGTCAGGATGCTCAGTGTCACTGAATAGCTCATTTTAAGTAGCTACTTCATAGAGCTAAAGCTTTTGTATCTTTTTGTATCTTTTGGTCCAGGAAACCTGATGGCATGGTCTACTTAGTTTATGAGTGTATGGATTCTTTTCCCAAAGTTCAGTATTACCTGACTGGGCCATTAGAGGCATAATGGGTATGTGTGTAATTTTTAGGGCATTTAGATATGGCTGAGAAGGTAGTAACTGCTTTCATGACTAGATAGTAAATGACTTTTTCGGGGCTGGAGAGATGGCTCAGTGGTTAAGAACACTAGCTGTTCTTATAGGGGACTGGAGCTCCATTTCCAGCCACCACACAGCAGCTTTCAGTAACTCTAGTTCTAGGGGATCCGATGCCCTCTTCTGGCCTCTGTGGGTATTGCATATTATGGGTGCACTTTCATACATGCAGACAAAGCACTCATACACATTAAATATATTTTTTTAAATGCTTTATTATAGCCGGGCATGGTGGCGCACGTCTTTAATCCCAGCACTTGGGAGGCAGAGGCAGGCGGATCTCTGTGAGTTCAAGGCCAACCTGG